GATTTTAAGTTTCGTGTTGCGACTATTCTTCTTCTGGAAATTGAAACTTGAATGGATTGCATTACTTCAACCAAAAGAAAAAACAAAGACAAATACTAACTTCACAGGGTTATTTTAGAATAGTTTAGCAGTATTGGCAGCAACCGAATGAATTTACTAAGCAATATAAGTGAAATGGTTAATCTAAGTGAAATTACGAGTAAATCAAGTTAAATATGAAAAATCTTAAACTTACCTCATTGCGTATAGTATGAACCTCATTTTGCAACGATGCTACCATCTCACGTAGAGCCACTACCTCACCATGTAAAGTAGATACCTCATCACGCCATGCACCATTGTCATCGCGTAAAGTACCGACCTCCTCACGCAAGGCATTGACCTCATCACGTAACTCCCCTAACTCATCCCGTAGAGGTGGAGGTGGATAACATGGAGATAAATGTCATAGCATCTTTGTCGGTCGCCTATCATGAGGTGATGGTGGAGAAGAGGCTTGATGATGTGACGGAATAGGTGATGACTCTCGTTGTAGAGGTGTATAGTGTGGTCGATCAGGTGATAGCTCTGGGTGAGGTGATGGCTCTCGAAGTGGAGGCTGCTCATCGTTCGTGCCATCAAAAAAACGCTTACTAGCTTGCCACCAATCAGTGGCAAGCTCAGCCTCCGTGGGTGTCAGCCTCTGTAATGGAGTGTTGGCCTCCTAACAATATAAAAGCTCAAACAAAGTTAAACGTGTACTAGTAATAACTTGTTTATATATGGTAGTATTTGTGTTAACTTACATCATTTATCGTCGTATACCGTAGTAACTCTTCCCAAATCAACAACCGCCGTTTCCTCTTCTAGGAAATAGCCCTAGGAATATCATTTGAAGTTTTTAATGCATATGTCTGCATGTCGGGAAAAGCCTCAAATATCCAAATCTACAAACAATATAATACACAAACAATAGTAATTGTTAAATAATTAATTATAATTTTGGAAACATTATACAAAAATTATAACCTTAAAGACCCAAATAAAGCCTAACAAAGTGTATTTGGAACCATCACCACGCAAACTTTTGCGGTCATCAAAGGCAGACGACAACTTATTACAAGTAGTTTTCCATAGATACGAACCCCACGGAAACAGGTTCCATGCATTTAGGTCATCTACCAATAATATTTGGTCCTTAGGAATATGTTGTTTGGCCTCTCTGCCTAAAAAGCCGGCATGCAAAAGTACTAAAAGGCATACTCGGACAACATCGACGTCATCCATCCGAGTAAAACCATCTTTCTTATTCAATAATCTCGTTAAGTCGTCGACGTGTAAATTCGGCTTCTCCATTAACAGCTCAGGAAAAACCCGGGATAACCATGATGGGCGGGTAATATGACTAGTATATCGACCTACATCATCGTGTCCGAAGCGTAGACCAGTGATTAAGCAAAACTCCTCCCGCCCAAAACACGTATACGCCGGTGGAAAATGAAACCATATCTCTTCATTACCACGTTTTATACTCTCGGGTAGATCGCTAGTCATGGTCTGAAGCCACAAATGGGTCAACATAACATCTCCACCTGGATGTTGTACTTTCAGCCATGGCCCGAAGCAAGTATCCTCAAACAATTTTCTTTGTACATGTGAAAGCTTCGATGCAATTGTAGTGACTAGGCTTATTTTATTCTTTCAGGTCAATTGAGCCGAAAAAAAGTTCTACAAAAACAATAAACATACCAAGTTAGATATACCAAAAACTACACTGTGAAGATATACCAAAAACAATAATAAACATAAAGAGTAGTAGTAGTTTATTCTTTAAACTTAAATTTGCAACACTGTAAATTTCGTATTTGTCTTTGTTTTTTGGTTGAAGTAATGCAATTCATTCAAGTTTCAATTTGCAGAAGAAGAGTAGTTTCTGAAACTTAAAATCGCAACACGAAAATGAAAATCGCACACGAAAATGACTATCGCAACGCGAATTTGACTATCGCAACGCGAAAATAAAATCGCGTAGCGATTTTGTCGTTGCGATTTTCATTTTGCGTTGCGATTCTCGGTTTCAAATAGTCATTGTCTAAAATTGAAACTTGAATGAATTGCATTACTTCAACCAAAAGACAAAACAAAGACAAATACTAACTTCACAGGGTTAAAGACTAAACCGTTTAGCAATATTGGCAGCAATCGAATGAATTTAATAAGCAATCTAAGTGAAATGGTTAATCTATTATTGAAATAACAAGTAAACTTATCATCAATTTCAATATGAAAACCTAATAATAATGCAAAATTTTCAAAATAAAAATAATTAAAAAAACTAACACTCGGTGGTTGATTTGGTTGATTTTCCATTTCTGATCGTGAATGATTGTGAGGGTAGCTCTGAGAGATGGAGATAGACGGATTTCACCGGAGATGGGGACGGATGTCGTTGTAGAGAGTGAGAGATTGAGATGGGATGAGTTGTGATTTAGGGTTTTAAGTTAATAGTTGCGATTACGGGATATATTAATATTCGTGTTTGGAATTTGAAAATAAAATGCACATTGCGATACTAATGGCGCTTTGAAAATCGCAACACGAATTTGAAAAATCGTAATGCGGTAGTCAAAATCGCGTTGCGAATCTGGAAACTGATTTGCGATACTGGAGATCGCGTTGCGATTTAGAGACCGCATTGCGATTTTGTTGGTCATTTTGGCAAATCGAAAAAAATGGTCAAAATCGTATATTATAAGGAATTTTCGGTTACTGGGGTTATTTTCTCATTTAATATTAGTAGTCTCGATTAATTTAGAAAAAAAAATACTTTGTATAAGTGTTGATGATATGTTATAAATTACATGTATACATATTATATATAATATATCATTTTAAAAATATTTTTTATTTTTTTAATAATTTATAAGTAATTCCTATTATATATATTAAAAAATTAGTTTTTTATAATAGTTTTATTATTTTAATATGTATATTTATTTTTTAGTTAATTTTATTTTTAGCATTTTTATATATAATTTTTTAATATTTGAACAATTTTATTTTAAGAAAACTAAATAAACCATTGAACTTTTGAAAAAAACCAATTTAACCTTAAAACAAAATAAAGAAACTAATTTAGTTTATATGCAATGTCATTCGTACTTTATTATTCATCGTGGATTGTCATGATATTATCGTAGATTGCCACATCAGCACCGTAACAGTTAATGACGAAAAACGTTATGAAAGGATGACATTGAATTTATTTTCTAAGTTGAAAGACCACATTTAATAAAAAAAATAATACGATAATTACATTGATTTTTTTTAAAATATAGGATCCTTTAATATCTTTTTGCCAAAAGTTAACATGTATTCTATATAAAGGTATATTAATAAATTATCTTAAAATGAACAAGTTAATTTTTTATTTTACATAGATAGAACTTTATTTTGATCCTAATTTTTTCTTTTGAAAAATTCATCAAATAGAAAAATAATTTTAAAAATATAATCAAAACTGGTAAATTTTGAATTTTTTCCCATCTCAAAACTTGAAAGATAAATTTTGAAAAGTTATTATCTTCAATTTTATATTTATTAATTACAGTAATTTATTTTGATCTTCATACTAAAGACATTCATCCTTTATTATTTTTTAATTTTATTGTCAAAATATAAACAAAATTAAAATTAATATATACAAAAATAAATTAAAATAACATCACTAAATAATTTAAGATATTCATTTTTTGTCTTGGTTAGTGTTAGGTATGGCTCATAAATATACCAGTAAAGAGGACAGGAGATGAAGTGGAGTGTGCGAAGCGAACATCAACTGCCCTTACAAAGAAAGTCTCGTTGTGGGGTTATGAATTATGTGGGTTAGGGGTGCGGGGGCGTAGCCCCCGCGGTACGGTACATGGTTGATTTTGTAATTATGTACCAGGGTTTTCTATTATAAATAGAGATGTAACCTAGACCTAAAATATCATTGAATAAAACTTCTAGCGCCGCCTAGGCACCGAGGACGTAAGCACATTACCGAAGCTCGTAAAATTCTCGTGTTCTTTTGTTTTTCTTTACCCGTTTTCGTCAACAATTAGTATTTTTTTTATCTTTGTAAATGACAATTACATCAATTTTACTATTAATCATCGACAATTGGTATTCATTATCTTTATTTATTTTATTATATAGTATATTTACTTTTTTTTAAAATTTTTAATAACTATATTTTTATGACATATATGGTATGTTTCATCTTTCTCTTGATGCATTTTTTGTCATTTGACCATTCTTTTCGTTTATCATTTTTCTCAGGGTTAGATTTAACATCATCACAACTAATAAAGATGACGCTCATTTGTTATCATATTATCTTCACTACTTTGAACATATTGGATTTGGATATGCGATATGCGCTCGTGAAATTTGTTTTCGTATTGCTCGATTATGATTTATGGTTTGTTTGTGGTATTATAATAACTTGATTATTTTTTGTGGTTTTTTTTCAATACGATCAAATATGTTTGTATATACATTTTATTCAAGTTTATTTAATTAAAGTTTTAACATTTTTCTCATATGATATTTGTGTGATTTAAGTGACTAGTTTATCTATTAATTAAATTTATTTAATTAAATTTTTAATATTTTCTTTATATAATCATTGTGTGATTTAAATGACTAATTTATCTATTAATGATTATAGAAAAATATTATAATTATGTATTTTGAGTTACTCTTATGATTATAAATTTATTATAATTTAAATATTTTTAAATTTTTAATAAAATTATCCGCTTTTATCTTATAAAAAATATAAAAACAAGGAAAACAGTCCCCAAAAAAATAAACAGAAAAGTAGTCAAATTTAGGTCCTTAAAAAAGTACTTTCATCGGGACCAGCTCGAGGAGAAATTACCTTATTTCAAGGACAGGTCACATAAAGATGAGGTCAAGATTGTAATTTCCAAACATGAAACTATAGATGAAAATGTTCGCTTACACAGTGTCCTACGGAGCTTCAACTCCGAACTTCTATAAGAAATCGCAATTCCTTCATACATTTTCTAATTATCTGAGAAAGAAAAATAAATATTCGAAAAATATTTCCAAAGCATAGAACTTCCTCTCATGGCGGATATACTCTGTTCTTTAAGGTCCTTAATGGCCTCTCACTCTCCTCCTCTCGATGCCTTACTCGTCCCTTCCGAAGATTTTCACCAGGTTTAATTAAAAAAAAATCTCCTTTTAAATTCTTTTATCTTTTCTAAAAAGGAAAATGTTCATTTGTTTAATTTTGAATCGATTTTTGCAGAGCGAGTATGTTTCTGCTCGTGATAAAAGGCGCCAGTTTGTTTCTGGATTCACTGGAAGTGCAGGTTTCTATTTCAATTTCCTCTTATACTAATAATAATAATTATTCTTATTTAAGTTTTGTAAAATATTTCAGGATTGGCACTTATTACAAAAAATGATGCAAGTCTATGGACGGACGGCCGATATTTCTTGCAAGCGATGCAGCAGCTCGGTGATCAGTGGAAACTAATGCGTATTGGAGAAGATGCTTCAGTCGATGCTTGGTTGTCTGATGTAAAATTTACCATTTTGCTTCTCTAAAAATTCAAATTTTTATACTTTATTAATATTTGTTTATTTTTTTTGAACGATTTAGAATTTGCAAAGGGAGGCAGCTATCGGTATTGATCCTTGGTGCGTATCAGTGGACACAGCTCAAAGATGGGAACTAGCTTTTGCAAAAAGGAAACAGAAGTTAGTTCAAACCTCAACCAATTTGGTTGATGAGGTTTGGAAAAACAGGCCTCCAGCTGAAATTAATCCGGTTGTTGATCATCCCTTGGAATTTTCCGGTCGTTCTGTCGCTGAAAAATTGAAAGATTTGAGGGTAAAGCTGGCCAACGAAAAGGCTCGTGGAATTATCATCACAGCTTTAGATGAGGTGTGGCTTTGTCAAGTTGTTGGTTGTAATGGAATGTGTTGAGCTTTTTCCTTTTTGTAGTTTAAATGGGTAATTTACAGGTTGCTTGGTTGTATAACATCCGTGGAAGCGATGTATCTTACTCTCCAGTTGTTCATGCGTTTGCTATTGTAACATTGAATTCGGCTTTCCTCTATGTCGAAAAAAGGAAAGTTTCTTCTAAGGTAGGATTTTGAATATGTACTTAGTTGTTGAAGTTTTCACTTTCTCACGTATTAGATCATATGATGGTATAACTTTTGTCTTGATGGTTTGGGTATGTTGATCACATGTATGTTAATGCAGGTTAACTCTTCCTTGCAAGAGAATGGAATTGAAGTTCGGGAGTATGGTGCAGTGAGTTCTGATGTTGCGATGTTAGCATCTAATCAGCTTGATCAGGCCACGAGAGTGATTTCTAGTCAAAATGGTGTTTGCGATAATGATCTTATATGGGTTGATCCTGCTTCATGCTGCTATGCTTTGTTTTCAAAACTAAATGCTAATATGGTGCTCCTGCAGCAGTCACCCTTGGCCCTAGCGAAAGCCTTAAAGGTTGTCAATGCATTTGTTTACTGGTTGAATCTTCCTTTAGAATTGCATAGCATATATCTATATGAAGTTAGAACACCTTAAATTTTGGATATTTACTTGTAAATCTACATGCACTGATCCTGAAGAATAAGCATATGCTGCCCCTGAAAAGGGAAAAAAAAGGAGAGCCGTTACCTATTTTAAAGACCATACAAGGATCAAAGAGTGTTGCTCTTTGTTCATGTTTCATCTTATAGTAATTTATCTACGATTTTTGCATTTTTAGAATCCAGTTGAGTTGGAAGGACTGAAAAATGCACATATCCGAGATGGTGCAGCTGTTGTGCAGTTTCTTGTCTGGTTGGATAAGCAGGTATTGGATTGTGAACTTTTGATATTGTTTTCTCTTGAAAATTGGTAAATATTCTCTCTAAATCATTAAGCTTCTAACTCTTTTGTTTATATTTGGTTCTAATTTCAAAAATAAAAATATTTCTCATCATATGCAACTATATTATAGGCTTGAAATGATGCTATTGCTCTCTCAATTGCACAGATGCAAGAGATTTATGGGGCTTCCGGTTACTTCTTGGAAGGGGAGGTAGATAGGAAAAAAACACCGTAAGTAATAGAATTGAAAGTTGATATCTTGTCTCTCTTTCATCCCTGTTCAGTTGCTGTCTTTCAAGCCTGAAACCAAGCAGGCTGTTCCCTTTCTTAAGAAATAAATTCTGAGCTGGGGCTGGACTGACTGATGCTTAGTTGTTTCATGCTACTGGAATGAACCATGCAGGGAGACTACGAAATTGACAGAGGTGACTGTTAGTGATAAGTTGGAGGGGTTTCGTGCATCAAAGGAGGTAACAATAATTTTGAGAATGTTTTATTGTGAATATAAGGGATAATATCATCTTTGGATATAACTATAATAGTAAAAACCTTTCAAGTGAGAAATTCTTGTATAAGTAATGATAAATTCTGTTGTTTGTGCCCACCAATAGGTAATTACTTTGTTATGTAAACTTCGGCATCTTAACATTTGAAACTAAGAATTTTCTAAGAGTCTCAACTCACAAGCATATTTAGTGTGTAAGGAGCACCTTGGTTCTGGTTGTTGCTATAATATTGTGCTTGCATTTGTAATTTTCTCAATTTTTTTTGTATGTTACCAATTGCAGCACTTCAGAGGCCTAAGTTTCCCAACTATTTCTTCAGTTGGTCCAAATGCAGCCATCATCCATTACTCACCTCAGGCAGAAACATGTGCTGAGCTTGATCCCAATAGCATTTATCTATTTGATTCAGGAGGACAGGTTTGCTCAAGTCGTAATGATTTAGCTGATTCTCAATAAGATGACAATAATCTTATTCTAGATTCTTAGTTCTGATTCTTAATTTTATGACCGATAAAGTATCTAGATGGAACAACTGATATAACTCGGACGGTTCATTTTGGAAAGCCTTCAGCACACGAGAAGGCTTGTTATACCTCAGTAAGTGGTTTCTATTGGCTGTTGCATTGTCTTCTGGATAATTCATTATTAGTTACCTATGTTTACCTTCCTTTGGACAGACCATATGCAAATTTAATTTATGATGTGCTTATATTTTCAAAGCCCCTTGTGGATTTTAACACAAGCTGTATATCCATCTCTCAGCATCTTTGTTTATGTTGCCTGGGAAATGATGTGTCGCATGAATGATTGTGATACTCTAATAGGAAAAGAGTGAATGGATGTCTTATAATATTTTCTATATTTTACAACATCTATTTAAGCTTTAAATTAATATTTTTCCAAGAAGAGAGTAGCATATGTTGTTTTTGATGATCCATCCAATGAGTTCGCAACTGTGATTTTCAGACAACCCTGTTTGTATTCGCATTAAAGCAGTTGACCGTTTAATATATCGGAAGTCAAAATTTATGACCTAGAGTAGTTAATTTTATTATTATTATTTCCGATTTTTCCTGAACTTTAAGCCTTGAAGAAATTGGTTGATTCTGTGCAGGTTTTGAAGGGCCATATTGCTCTAGGCAATGCTCGTTTTCCTAATGGAACAAATGGTACTAGAAGTTCTCTATTTATCTATTCAATTGTTTGTTCCATATTTATTTAAGCATACCCTTTCAAGTCAAGTAGATTTTGTCTCAAATCCAATATCTAACTAATGTGTATATATAATTATATTCATAAACACACTCTCAGATGTATATATTAGGTTGATTGGTTGATTGCTTTTATAGGTTATGCTCTTGATATTCTGGCTCGAATTCCTTTGTGGGGGTATGGTCTTGATTATCGACATGGTACCGGTCATGGAATTGGGTCTTACTTGAATGTTCATGAAGGTTAGCAATGAGCTACAATTGCTTGGTGAAGTTAGGGTTGCTGTTAAATCAATGAAACTTTTCATTTAATTTTGTTTGTTCCCGGTTGAACTACTTGGAGCAGGGCCGCATCAAATTAGTTTCAGACCACACGCTCGAAATGTGCCACTTCAAGTTTCCATGACAGTAACAGATGGTTAGTATTGTTTGTCCTCTCTGTTCAAATTCTTGACAAAGGATGTTTATCTCGCCTCATACCGGCTTCCTTTGACTTTGTATTCTTTTTATACTTAATGCTTTACTTCTTTGTTTACTTCAAGCTTTTCATGCATACATTTTCTAAACATTTAATGCTGCCTGGCTGTCAGTCCTGGCTCGAGTTTTTCGCAGAGGATGTCTCTCCTTTCGCTGGTGTTGTTTTTGTGCATATGTTACCATGATTATAAAGTTCTAAGCAATTTAAGAATTCTATTTTCTCAATGTTAAAATACTGCCTACTCTATTCTTGTCGTCTGAAAAGTAGCATGATGTTACTATTTAACTGAAGTAATAATCTATACCGCAATCGGAAATTCTTTTTCCCAGAACCTGGATATTATGAAGATGGTAGCTTTGGTATAAGATTGGAGAATGTACTCGTAATCAAGGAGGCTGAAACTGAATTCAATTTTGGCGACAAGGGATACTTATCATTTGATCATATCACATGGGTAAGTTCTGTCATTATGTGTAATTATTCATCTTTCTCTTCCTCCTATCGACCATGATGCATGTGATCTGTTTGTCTTCAAATGTGCATGCATGCTTTAGGTTTTCCGGGTCTCGCATACTTGGTGTTGATTACTATTCTCTACGTTTACTGCAGATGATTAACTTGATTGATAAACTACCGGGAGACTTTAATTATTAATGTTCTCTCCTTTGAAACGCTATTGCAATTTTTTAAAAGCATCCTTTGTGTGCATCTTATTTGCATCTCATGGCATGCTGAATGTAAGGGTTGTTTTTGGTCATGCTTCAATGGATTAACGTGCATACTGTTTACAGAGACAACTGAATGTTCGATTTTAATGGTTTTTCTTATGTTCAGGCACCATACCAAATAAAGCTGATTGACTTGAGCCTCATGGCACCGGAGGAAATTCAGTGGTTGAATACTTACCATTCAAAATGTCGGGAAATTCTTGCTCCTTACATGGATAAAAATGAGATGGAATGGCTAAAGAAAGCTACTGAAACTGTAACTGCATGATATGCATATGCAATAAAACCCAAGGAACCCTTTTAGCATCTTTCTATGCTTTCGCTCTATATCAAGAATAAAAATGAGAATAATTTTGTAAATGATTTTAGTTTGCACATTTATATGTGATCTTTATGGATTAACTAATGCTGAATTTAACTATTTATTTAGTCTTCCTAGTAAGTTCCTCTTATTTCACATCTGCCAATATTGTCCTGCGGTAGTGATGATGTTGACTCGGGTACACACCGCTAAATGCTCGGTCACTGTCGTGGCATTCATCTTGTGTTCGGCAATCATCTTGGTTACCTATTTATAGTAATGATCGCCGGCGCAAGATTTTCAACCTGAGACGCCCACATAAGTCGTTTGGCAAAATAATTTCTTATTTTTCTTTTTTGCTTAAAGTTTAACCGAGTTTTTAAAATTCATAAAAAAACAATTTAAGTGCTCCGACCATGTTATGATTCACATGTGAATCACCACGCCAACAAGTGGTTATGTCAGCAATATGAATTATCATATTAATAATATAGTGAACAATGATATTTTCGTCGATTGAAAAATAATGCTAATTATTTTTTTTGAATTTAAAGATTTAATTAGATAAAAGAAGGTTTAGAAACTTTTTTCTTCTTTCAAATGTACATTAATTTTTGTTGTTGAACAATTTACACAAATTTATGACCCTTAAAACAATTTTGTATTATCAAATATGTGGATTTAATATTTTTTTCTTTATCAATAATCAAAATATCAAAACCAAGATAGTATTAAGCCTTTTTACTTATGTCTGTACTACCTAGATTATTAACCTAATATTTAGACTAGGAGGTGGTACATGCAATCATTGGCTACTTGAGACAGAGAATTGAAAGAGGAACCGCCCTTGCTTAAAGCCTTCTCTGCACTCTTCTTCATTTCCTTGACTCTTTCCTTCATCGCTTGCCCTTTCTTACTGGAAATATGAATAACAGAGGAGTATAGATTGGATATTGTTATTGTGAAAATCAGTGAATTGAGTACAAGACTGGTGCTCCTTATATACAACAATTCTCAGCTGTATCAGCTGCTAATACAACTACCTTAACTGCACAACTAACCAAAACTGACAAAACTAATTTGCTAACAACCAAGGTTGTTATACCAGCTTCACCTACAGGAAACATCTTGAATGTACTGCTAATGTACATACTGCAACAGTTGATATGCACGCTAACATTCCCTCTACTTCTTCTTATTCTCCTCTTCTGATTGTGAACTCACTTGTACTCCAATATTGTCATGAAACATTTCAAACGCTGCTTTAGACAACGGTTTAGTGAAACCATCAGCCAGTTGATGAGCTGCAGGTACGTAATTCACGCTTAGTTGTTGAGCAGCCACCTTCTCGCGGATGAAATGCACATCAAGGTCAACATGTTTCGATTGAGCATGATAAACTGGGTTGGCACTCATTGCCACAGCTCCAGTATTGTCACACCATATCACTGATCGTCCATGTTGCTGCAACCCAAGCTCAGCGAGTAAGGTACTCGCCCATGTAACCTCAGCAATGGCATCCGCAAGGCTTTTGTACTCAGCCTCCATCGTCGAGCGTGAGACAAATTTCTGTTTCTTCGAACTCCAAGCAACTAGATGATTGCCAAGGAATACCCCATAGCCTGAGATGGACATTCGATCTGTTATGTTGGCACCCCAATCAGCATCAGCAAATGCTGAGACTATAAACCTTGATTTTAATGGCAGGTACACCAAGCCATATTCCACAGTACCTGCCAGATACCTCAATATTCGTTTTACCGCCACTAGATGACTTTCTCGAGGAGCATGCATGAATTGAGCAACTTTGCCTACACTGAAGGCAAGTTCAGGCCTGATATGACACATATACAGTAGAGACCCAACAATAGATCTATACATAGTCGCGTCCTTTATTAAATCACCATCCTCGGCTAACTTGGAACCCAGAATCATAGGAGTTGCACATGTGGAAGCATTCTCCATGCCAGTTTTTTTAAGAAGATCCAAGACAAATTTCTTTTGACTTAGCATCAGGGAGCCATTGTTACGTTTTACTTCAATATCCAGGAAATAGCTAAGAGGTCCCAAATCCTTAAGGGAGAACGTGTCCTGAAGCATACGAACAATATTAGCAATGCTGGTAGTAGAGGAGCTTGTGATGACTATGTCATCTACATAGACCAGAAGGTAAACTCGTTCAGTGCATGTGTTTGTAAAAAATAGAGAAGTATCAGCTCGGGACACTTGGAAGCAGTAACACGTCCTTAAGCTTTGCATACCAATTACGAGGTGTTTGCTTCAAACCATATAGGGCTTTTTGCAGTTGGCAAACCAGGGGTTCACCATCAGCTGTTGTCTGTTCAAAGCCTGGAGGTTGTTTCATAAACACTGCCTCTTTTAAGTCTCCATTGAGAAAGGCATTATTGATGTCAACATGCCTCAGCTCCCAGTTGTTAGCCACTGCAACAGATAGGATCACATTGAGAGTTGTAAATTTCACAACAGGGCTAAATGTATCAAGGTAGTCCTGCCCAAACACTTGAAAAAATCCGTTTGCAACGAGCCGAGCCTTGTATCTATGAACCGAGCCATCAGGATTGCGTTTCACTTTGAACAACCATTTACAGCCTACTGCAACTCGTCCAGGGGGGAGCTTGACAAGCGTCCAGGTCCCATTTCTTTGAAGTGCATCGAATTCTTCTTGAACCGCAGCAGTCCACGCTGGAGATTGAAGCGTCTCAGTAACATTTGAGGGGACTTCCTCATCAAAGTGGCATGAGAGAGCTTTCAATTTAAAAATTCCACACTTGCTTCTCATGAGCATGGGGTGATTGTTCACCCGTGATGTGCCAGTAGGCGAGATTTCAACACTAGATGGGACAACATCACTGTTCGACTTAGCTGGGCTGTTGTGATTGTTCACTCGTGTTGTATCAATAGGCAAAATTTCAACGCTAGGTGGGACACCATGAGGATTAGGTGAGATTTGACTAGCCTCTCTATTTCTAGGTACATTTTCAAGGCTAGGTTCAAGAGTTATTCCAGGTGGCATAGCCACACTTGATGATTCACCTTCACCTCCTTCGATATTCACATGTTTGATATCATGAGATCCAGTGGGAACTGACTCAACGCTACCTTGAGTTGCTGGTTGTGCTAAGAGTTGAGCAGGTTGGTGATGCATGTTAGTCACGATTTGTAAAGTTTGCGGCTGTCGATTTCTGAGCTCCTGAGCGTTGCATGAGGACGGACTGCCTGCAAAAGGAAAGGTAGTTTCATTGAAGACAACATGCCTGGAAATATAGACCCTTTCATCAGCTACGAGGCATTGAAACCCTCTATGCTGGGGGCTGACACCAAGATATGTGCATGATTGTGATCGATATGCAAGCTTGTGAACTTGAAACGGGCGTAGATGAGGGTAGCATTGACAACCAAACACCTTCAGATCATTATAGTTTGGTTTCTTCCCGAGCAGCTTCTCACTGGGAGAGATTCCCTGCAAAACCTTAGTAGGTAATTTATTAATTAGTTGAACAACAGAGATAATAGCATATGACCAATATTTCATGGGTAATGAGGCTTGTGCGAGCAACACTAGTGCCATTTCAACCAGGTGTCTGTGCTTCCTTTCAACAATGCCATTCTACTCGGAGGTATGAGGACATGACAACCTATGTACAATTCCAACTTTGGCTAGCAGTGGTGAGAGGCTGCGAAACTCACCTCCCCAGTCGCTTTGTACTGCTTTGATTGAGGCATTAAATTGGGTTGCTACCATTTTTTGAAACAGCAAGAAGGCTTCAACAGCTTGAGACTTATATCTTAATAGGTAAACCCAAGTGTGTCGCGTTCATGCATCGACAAAGGACACATAAAATCTAAAACCGTTTGATAACACATGGGGAGGTCCCCATAAATCAGTAAAGACAAGCTGAAATGGAGTATTATAAGCTGTATTCGATTACTCAAAGGGTAATTTGTGACTTTTGCCCATATGACAAGCACTACAAGTCTTGTTTACATCAGAGGTAATTGTTACATCAAGCATTTTTGTAATATGTTTTAGTGTGTTACTAGAGGGGTGGCCAAGTCGTCGATGCCATAACTCTTCAACCTCAGTGGATGTAGCAAAAGCAGCAATACACGCAGTAGTTTCTGTAGATTTATTGGTAACAAATGAGTACAGTCCTTCAGACTCTTCACCAGTCAACAACACCTACTTAGTAGTCTCATCTCGTACACAATAGCTCCTGGCATGAAACTCAACGAAAACGTTGTTGTCCCTAGCAAGCTTCGAGACCAAAAACAAGTTTTTTGTTATATGCGGGATATGTAACAGATCGTGCAACATTAATGCTTTGGATGCAGTAGGTAAAGTTGTATTACCAATGAGATGATTGTCAAGGGAATTGACATTACCAACTTTTAGTTTACCTGGGACATGAAAATCAGTAGAGTTTCCTAGATTTGTTCTGTCAGGGGTGACATGATGAGTGGCACCCGAGTCCACCACCCATCGCTCAGAAGTTGCAGTTGCAACGTTTGCTTGAGAGTCCGTTTTTACACGAGAACAACACTCACATCCCTGGCTAGTGCTGGCAGAGTTGGAAGTACCCGAGGAGTAACTGCTTGAGGTGTTGTCCTTGGAGGAAGGATAACTGTTAACCGAAATACAAGTGAAGTCCTAATCAAACCTGTGCCAGCAACGATCAACCAAGTGTCCTAGCTTTCCACAGAGCTGGCACTGAACACGTGTTCGGCCTCGCCCACCATTCCTTCCACCAGACGAACCACGGCCCGATCTGTTCTCTTGATGATTAGAAGACCCACGATCAATATCACCATGGGCATAATTGGCACTGATGGGCAGACTATCTTGTTGTTCATCAAATCCAGCAAATTGAACCTCAACATCTAATAACATTGTATGGATGTTATCAACAGAGAGTGCATCTTTCGTTGTTGAAACAACAACCATGAATGGCTGATACTCCCTAGGAAGACCTCGAAGAATGCTAACTATTTGTTCAACAGGAGGAACATTACTCCCACAGGAAGCAAGGGTGTCACAAACTTCTTTGATGCGTGTTAGGTACATTCGCATGCTGTCATTCCCTTTTCGTA